CCGGTCCCTTCCTGCGCCCCCGCCCCGTGTCCCCTCTCGTCTCCCGGCCCCGGGTCCCATAGAAGGTGAGCGGGCACTTCCGCCGCGCCCCTGCCCTGGCCGCCCAGCACCAGGGATCCCATACCCTCGGAAGACCTTGATATGCACCTAGACCGTAATCCACCGAAATCCTTTTATTTTTAAGGGAGGAGAGCAGATGAGAAGTGTGGTGTCCCCTGCGGAGCACGGTCAGCCCCTAGTTCTCCCAACAGGTGTGACAGCCAGGCAGTTTCTCCCTGCTGTCCTGGAGGTCCCCTCCCCTCCTGTGGGGGACCCATGGAGACCCTCCGGGGTTAGATCTCCCCCTGCCTCCTCAACAATCCTGTATCTTTGGAAATTACTTTCCCTGGAGTCACAGCGACCAGCTAGAAGAGTTTGGGGAAACTGTCCCCTGAGAATTTACTATACTATCTAAGCCTAGAAATAAATCAAGTCCAAGACTCCTGACCTTCCAGGACACAGCCAGCTCCAAAACGTGGCTGGAGCCCCTTGGGCTTTAACTCATCATGACAGATACACCAGCATCCCGCGGCCAACTACCCACCCCCTACCCGAATGGAAAAAAACAAAGAATGAAGTTAGGTTTCCTATTCCTTCCAGGGCTCCCAGAGGATAGCAAGGGTGATCCTTCCCCTGGGGCGTGTGCATCTTCCCCTCATGGCAGATGAAACACCTGGAGAGCGGACTACACTGTGAGCCTCACACAGGTGATGCTGGGAGCCATCAGCGGGGGGCTCCCAGAGAGCCCCAAGGCCCTGGGCACCCTGGGGGCCGATCATCCCCACAACACTGCTACTGACTGAATGCGTACCCTGGAAATCCACACATTGAGGCCTGACCCCCAGTGCGAGGGTGTTAGCAGGTGGGGCCCTAGGGAGGTGATCAGGTCATAAGGGTAGAGCCCCCTCATGCATGGGATTAGTGCCCCCATAGAAGACACCCCAGGGAGCCCCCTTGTCCTTCCATCATGTCCATGAATCAGGAAGCTCTCACCAGACATGGAAGCTGCTGATGCCTTGACCATGGACTTCCAGCCTCCAGAACTCTGTTGTTGATAAGCACCCCTGCCCAGTCTAGTATTTTAGTTAGAGCAACCTAGAAGGACTGAGACAAGCACCCAAGCCCTCCCCTGCAGTCCAAGGGCCAGAGGCTGGAGAGCAGGGGAGCAGTGTCCTGCCCCATCGGAGGCCACAGCCCCTTTGGAGATGATCGTGTGTTCCTCCTGCCTCCTGAAAGTCTGCCTGCCTGGCCTATCTTAGCAGCCTGCTTTGGGCGCACTGGGCGGGCTGCTCCTTCCTGCTTGCCCTTGACTCCTCCCTCCTCTCAGGCCTTCTTTTCCTTCAAACCTGAGCCTCACTGCCTGCCACCCTCCTGTCCTCTTCCTTTTCAGAATGGATCACCTGCTTTGTTTGGCTTCAGAAATACTTCTCTCCCCACTCCATGCCACCCCCTTCAAGTTTTCCTTTTTGGCAGGTCTTCCTTCTGAGTCCATGGAGGGAATCTTCTGGAGGCAGGGGCAGCCCAGCCTCCAGGCCCTGGGCACAGGGCAGAGGAGCGGAGAGCCGCTCTGCGAGAAGCTGTAGCCTCTCTCTTGTCTTCGGCTTGCTTCTCCACCCTTGAGCAGCGCCCACGCGTTGGCGGGCTTGGATGGGAAAGGAGGCAGCCGTGTGTGGGGTGGTGAGCCAGGGATGTCCAGGAGGCAGCACACGGGGAGGAGAGCGGATGCTGGTCCAGCAGGGGTGGTGCTGAGGGGCTGCTTCTGGGGTAGGCAGCATGCCTGCCCACCCCTGCGGAGTGATCAGGAAAAGTTGCGCGAGACAGACATGCGCCATGTGTCAGGCTGAGCAGAGAGGTCAAAGGGGAAACTGAGTCCCAGTGTGAGCAGATATGTCTTCTCAATTAAGTCAGGTTCTTTCTGCCCATCCGGTGGTGGGCAAGGACAGGGCCCGCTCCTCACTCCGGTCCTGCTGGCCCCAGGGCTCTGCTCTGAGCAGCCCTCACCCTCGGGGTCTGGCTCCCAGCCTCTGCAGTCCCAGCCTCTGTGGTCCCAGCCTCTGCGGTCCCAGCCTCCATGGCCTGATCCCGGGACAGCTGCGCCTGTCCAGCAGCAGCCACACCCCGGCAGACACACAAAGAAAAGATGTGGCCACAAATCTGGGTGCCCCATAATCTAGGCTGGCTGACCTACAGTCCCCATTGCAGGTGCACAGACGACCCTGTGCGGAGGGGCCCAGTCCGGATGGCAGGCAGCCGGGTCTGCCGACCCCGCCGTTGTCCCCTAGCCCCTAAACGGAACATTGGGCAGACACCCTGCCCCACAGCTAGCGGGACACCCTGGCCACCCACCGCCCTGTGGGCTCAGGGATTCCAGGGCTGGAAGGTCCTGACTCTCTGCCTCCATCAGAGGCAAAGCCACACTCAGAAGGGCCACTGTGTGACCTTTGGTCCCCCCGGGACCCAGTTGCTGCATGAGCCATAATCTATAGCCACCACATGGGAGGTGCTGGGGAAGTCCTAGGGGGAGTCAGGCCACACGGCAGTGCTCCTGACCCAGCCGGTCCATGCCCTGTTCGCCCTCTTCTCTGTCCCCTGGGATGCAGGCCCACAGGAGAGGATGTAGCCCCCGGGGTCACAGTGTCCAAGCCAGGAGAGGTTTAGTGGGACGGTGGCCTCATCCATCGCACCTACTCTGTGACACCTCTCACTGACTGCTCCCACTGACCCCCTCACTGTCCCCCTTCACTGCCCCCCTCACTGTCTCCCCGCCCCCTCACTGTCCCCCTTGCTGCCCCTGTAAAGGCCTGGTTGGCCAGAGGGAGCCATTTTGTTGCGGTGAACTTGTATTGACCCTGCCCCTCCCAGAGGAATTTGCTTGCAAAGCCTAGATACAAGGGCGGGGCAGGCCAGGTAAAGGCATCCAATCAGTGGGGCGCGCGTATATCCACTAGGGTGAATTGAAATTCAATTGGCCACCTGTGTGTGGGCGGGGCAGGCCGGATAAAGACATCCAATCAGTGGGGCACGAGTATATCCACTAGGGTGAGTTGAAATTCAATTGGCCACCTGTGTATAGCCCGGCTAAACTACCTCTATAAAAGTTAGTCTGTGAGGCTGGGAGGGGTCGCCTCTTTGCAAGAGATGGCCCTGACCTTTCAGTTTGATTCTCGATGCTTGGCGCCAAATAAAGCTTTGCTTGACCTTCCCTTTGTATCAGTCTCGCTCCTTTGATTACAGACCCTAACATTGGAGGGGGCACCCGGATTCAAACGACGAGAACTGAGACAGCATTAGAATTTTTGGAAAAAGCCTCAGGAAGTAAGATCACGGGATCCTATCTGTCTGTCTGGTTGGAGCTCCAGGTTATGGCCCACCAGTGAGAAGCTGGACACAGTCATGCTCCCCATGGCCGGAGTAGATGCGGGGATGCCCCATCCCTCTGCTGGTAGATCGACGGGGGGTTCAAGTCCCCCTGGGCAGTCAGGGGCCTGCCGGGGGGGTTCAAGTCCCCCTGGGCAGTCGGGGGATAAAGAAAGCCCCCACCAGTGGCAGGTTCTGGGTAAGAATTGTTGGGCCTGTGGTTGTCTTTGCCTGGTCCTTTTGTTGTCGTGTTGTTTGTTATGATTGAAGGAATGGGGCAAGCAGAGAGTAAGGGGACTCTGACTTTCATCTCCCCATTCTTCATAATAGATGGGAGGCTTCTCGCTCACTCATTTCATGTGTTAAGGGCTATGACTGGAGCCAACTGGGGTTAGTCTAATGCCGGCTTAAGGTGCCCAATGCTGATGCTCATTGGAGCTGGGCGTGGAATATGAGTGCCTAGTGGGCCACTTTTGGTAAGCAGAACTGGCACTGCGGGATGAACCGACCTCGAGACAGAGACTTTAAGGAATATTCCCAAGCAGCTGCCGAAACTCCCTTTGTTTCGGGGAATTCCTTGCCTTCTCTGGCCCGACGTGGACTGCCTAGCCCCTTCCCCTTGCTGGCAGGAGAACATGGCATCTGAAGTGGAGATGGTTATTTGTCTGTCTCAAGGTTTTAATGGGTAATTGTTAAAGTGGCTTCCAAAGTCTTTGGTAACCTGAAACTGTGAAGAGTTGCTTGAATGACAAATGGAATTAAATTTGTTGGACATGTAGGTCTTAACCAAATGGGATAAAATGCTAGAGCGTTGGCTGCTGGAACTGGGTTTGTGCTTTTGAAATCTGCTGGTGAACACGTTCTGTGCTTAACTGATTGATAAATTTGCCATCTAAAGAGTTCTGTTGTAACAACTCACAATTGGTTTATATTTAGTCTTCAGTAGAGGTTAAGGTATTTCTAAGAGTACAAAATTCTGTTAAGTGTAATTAAGACTGATGGAAATGAGAAAAGCAACTCTGTATGTAAAAAGTAGGAGATATGTAAAAAGAGAGAAAAACAGCCCCGAGGCCACTGTCGGAGCTAAATCCATTCGTAAAAGAATGGAAGGGGAGACTGATCACCTCCCATTAGCCAGGGATACCCAAAGGGGAGGATGTCCAACCTGTTTGAATCTGAAGAGTGCCTGACTGTGTGAATGTGTCTGTATGACTCCACCGCTTCCGCTACGGAGTCTGAGTGGGCTGCACCCTGAGTCTCGCGGGGCGTCATATGGCATAACGGTCATCTACTCCACAGAGTAGCCTGGTCCGGGGTTTATACGGACAGACCTTAGCTAAGACACTCCTAAGTTCCCGCGAGGGACGCGAGCAGGACAGCATCTGAAAGATCCCCCTCCCTTTGTCTGCGACATCATTCACAATGGGAGGGGAACCTAGTACACTCATTATCTGCATACTTAAAAAAAAGAAGACGACACTGGTATAGAAAAGCTGGTTTTCTCTCTGTTTAAAAAGACAAAGTTTTCTTAAGTTAATTGATCTGTTATGGTTTTCTCTTTGCCTGCCCAGAAAATTCAGTTTCTATGTTTTGTTTTATCAGGTGTTTAACATCCCTAATTATATTTAGGCATGTGTTTTAAAACTTTCTAAGGTTTTGGTTTTTTTTTTTAAAGATTTTATTTATTTATTTATTTGACAGAGAGATCACAAGCAGGCAGAGAGGCAGGCAGAGAGAGAGGAGGAAGCAGGCTCCCCGCTGAGCAGAGAGCCCGATGCGGGGCTCAATCCCAGGACCCCAGGATCATGACCTGAGCCGAAGGCAGCGGCTTAACCCACTGAGCCACCCAGGCGCCCCAAAACTTTCTAAGGTTTTAACAATTGTTGACAAGATTTAAACCAATGATAAGCCTTGGGTTACATTTGGGAAAATGCTATGTATTTCCTAAAGTTTTAATATGTTGATAGATCATCACTTGATATTGTGATTATGGAAATCTTACAGGTCACAGAATAACCTGATTTTCTTGCCAGTTACATTGTAAATTCTCATCTCACCAGCTTTTTACCATATCTATTCTGAGTTTTTGTCATTTGTAATTGTTTTAATTCTCTTGTAAGATAAATTCCGTCTTAAAGAAAATTCATATGGGAGACTTTCAGGACAAATACAGGTCTTTGATATGTTAAAATCCTGGAACTGAAATGGGTAAGAATTTACAGAAGTAAAAGCTGCATTCGACTAAACCAGGATTATTAACATGGGACTAGGTGAACTGAAAGATTGTAATGTTGTATCTCTTGATGTTTTGTCTTATTTTAAACATTAATGGTTCTTTAATGTTTGTTCTTCCAGACTAGGGAAACTTTTTTTAAGTTATCTGTAACTAACAGAGATAAAAATGTAGTCATTTGTAAACAAATCAAGGTATTCAACTCTTTCTATCTGAACCCTCTGAAACCAAAAGGTCTCAGCAAGTATTCTTTCTTCCATGGCAATCAGTCATTTGCATAAGTTCAATAAGAATCTGTTCTCCTTGTAACAAGATACCATTGGAAACACTGGTTATTTTACCAAGGCTTTGACTGGAATGTCGTATTTGAAAAGACTCAGATATGACTAGACAGCTTAAAGGAACTAAGGTTGACTTTATAAAACCTGGAACCATAAAGTCCTTTGGAATTGTTGGCCTGATACCTTGCTTACAGAGTTCCCAGCAGCCTCACCAGGTGAGTAAAGGATGTTACTTCCTGGCAGGTGCAGGAACCTCAGGATTCTTTGGGGGCCTCAGGAAGAGGAATTCGCCCAAATCGACAGGTATTGCAAGCATGTCTGATGGCAAGTATGTAGCTTGGCTTCTGGCCTGGAGAGGCTATCATAAGTTCAATCTAGAGATTCCTTACAAGAAGTTCCAGCAGAGCAGATTCTAAAAGATTTATATGATCCCTCACTGTTCTTGCTGAGCTTATGTAAATAATTAGGCCAAGCTTGTTAAAACTGGACTTGTTTTTCAAATAAATTAGTCCTGATTTGGCTATCTCTGAAAACGAGGGTTATTTTAGAGAGAAAAATTATGTTTCTTTTTCTTTTTTTTTTTTTTAAAGATTTTATTTATTTATGAGAGTGAGAGAGCGAGCACAGGCAGACAGAATGGCAGGCAGAGGCAGAGGGAGAAGCAGGTTCCCTGCAGAGCAAGGAGCCCGATGTGGGACTCGATCCCAGGACGCTGGGATCATGACCCGAGCCGAAGGCAGCTGCTCAACCAACTGAGCCACCCAGGCGTCCCCGAAAAATTATGTTTTAATAACACACCTTTATGGATGTTAAATTCTAGATATGATTGTCTTTAAATGTTTGTTTACTTAAGCTAGACAACTTGGGGTAAACTTCAGGGAAGTTGCACGATAGCTCATTTAGATGATCTTGCTTTGCCAGTCAGTCAGCCCCAAATATAGGAAACTTCAGAAAATTGAAGGATTTAAAGGGAAGAATCTGACTGAGTTAGTGGGAATGGCAGAAAAGTGTTTAACAACAGGGATGCACAAGAGGATGAAAAACAGACAAAAAACTGGTTAAGGTTTTGGCATTACATGAGGCGGGGAGGAGACGGGTAGGGGATAGTAAATGGAAGGAAAAACCTAAGCACAGAGAAGGCAGGTGGGAAGACTTAGATTCAGATCAGTGCACTTACTGTAAGGGAAAAGGACATTGGGCCAGGGAGTGCCCCAAAAGGAAGACAGCAATGCTTGCCACCAGAGACTGAAGGGGCCGTGGTTTGGAGCCCCTCCCCGAACCTCAGGTAAAAATTGAAGTGGAGGGGAAATCAGTTGATTTTTTTTTTTTTTTTTTTGGTGGACACGGGAGCCCAATTTTCATCATTACTTAAACCTATGGGAAAACTATCTGGAGAGGAAGTTTGGGTACAAGGAGCAATACCTTGTATTGAATACCTTGCTGCAAAGAGAGACATAAATGGACAACAGAAAGGACTTTAAATTTGACCTCAGGAGTAGTTAAACATCGATTTTTGGTCCTCCCTAATGCCCCATATAACTTGATGGGAAGAGATCTCCTCCACAAGTTAAAACCCGGATTCAGTTCTTGGAAGGAGACATGACTGTAACCTTGAGACAGACCACTGTACAGGTGCTTATGGCAGCAGTAGATGAATACCTCCTTTACGAGCCAGTCTCAAAACCAGAGGAGACAAAGAGGGGGAGCCTTCTCCAAATCCTACAGGATGAGTTTCCCGAGGTCTGGGCAGAAGGGAAGCCCCCTGGCTTGGCCAAGGAACAACCTCCAGTGGTGGTACAATTAAAGGCGACAGCTACGGCTTTTCGCGTTTGGCAGTACCCCCTTCCCCGGGAAGCAAAGGAAGGGATCAGAAAACACATTAACTGCCTCCGAGGAGACGGAATCCTAGTTCTTTGCAAATCTCCATGGAACACACCTTTGCTGCCCATCAAAAAGGCCGAGACTGGGGAGTACCGACCCGTCCAGGACTTGCGGGAAGTTAATAAATAGGTTGAAAATATCCACCCGATGGTGCCTAACCCCTATACCCTACTCTCCCTCCTGGGCCCCAAAAGAACTATATATACCATCTTAGATCTCAAGGATGCGTTTTTTCTGCATATCTTTAGCAAGGGAATCTCAGCCCCTTTTGCTTTTGAGTGGTCTGACCCACAGGAAGGGTTTCAAGGCCAGCTCACCTGGACAAGACTTCCCCAAGGATTCAAGAATTCACCCACCATATTTGACGAGGTCCTACACGAGGATTTGCGTGAGTACAGAACCTCCAACCCAGGAGTCACTCTGTTACAGTACGTTGATGACTTGCTACTAGTCGCTGAGGACTATGAGTCATGCTTGCGGGGGACAAGAGCTCTCTTACAGACTCTGCAGGAAAAAGGGTATCGGGTGTCAGTGAAGAAAGCACAGCTCTGTCAGAGCCACGCCACTTATCTAGGGTTTGGTCTCCACGAGGGAGTGCGTTCACTGTCTGAGTCCAGGAAACAGGTGATCACCCGATCCTCACTTGTTGGGATGTTATGGGGCGGGAGTGAGTTTCTTGGGACGGTGGGCTACTGTAGGCTGTGGATACCACGATTTGCGGAGATTGCCTGACCTCTCTACGAACTGGCAAAAGGAGGGCTCACTATGATAGAGTGGACAGCTGAGGCAGAAAGAGCATTTCGGGAATTACAAACAGCCTTACTGAGTGCCCCACCATTGGCCATCCCAGATGTTACCAAGCCCTTCCAATTGTATGTGGATGAAAAAGCAGGGGTGGCCAAAGGAGTTTTAATCATACTCTGGGGCCTTGGTGAAGGCCAGGGGCCTATCTTAGCAAGAAACTAGATCCAGTAGCAGCTGGGTTCCCCCCTTGCCTCCGCATAATTGCTGCAACGGCCCTCCTGGTCAAGGATGCCAGTAAATTGACTTTGGGTCAAAATCTTATCGTAACCACTACACACGCTATTGAGGGCCTTCTCCGGACTCCACCAGACCGATGGATGATGAATGCCCGAGTAATGGGGTATCAGGCCCTTCTCCTCAACGAACCAAGAGTGAAGTGACCTTCCAGCCCCTGGTGGTTCTAAATCCAGCCACACTGCTGCCAGAGGAGCTGGCTGACCATCCACACGACTGTGGGGAGGTCCTAACCCAAGTCACAGGAATAAGGCCAGATCTCAGAGACATTCCCCTCCCAGATGCCGAGATGACTCTGTTCACAGATGGGAGTAGCTACATGGTCGATGGAAAGAGGTATGTGGGGGCTGCGGTGGTTTCTCCTGAGCAGGAACTCTGGACAGCATCCCTGCCACATGGAACTTTGGCACAAAAAGCGGAACTGATTGCACTCACTAAGGCACTGCAGATGGCCAAAGGTAAAACTGCCAACATCTATACAGACAGCAGGTATGCCTTTGCTACTCTCCATATACATGGGGCTAGTTATAAAGAAAGGGGCCTATTAACAGCAGAAGGAAAAGGAATTAAAAACAGGAGAAATATTGGCTCTCCTCCAGGCTATTTGGGACCCAAAAGAGGTGGCTGTTATGCATTGCCTGGGACACCAAAAGGGGACTGATCTGATTTCAAAAGGAAACCACTTAGCAGATCAAGCTGCAAAGCAAGCAGCTCAAGAAACAGTGCAAGAACTGGTTACACTCCTGGCTCCAGCCCTACCAGAAAAACTGAACTATTCAGAAGAAGATTTAAAGTATTTACAGAAATGGGCTAAATTAGACTACGGGCGACTGGGCTAAGACTAAAAGAGGAAAGTTAATTCTTCCTCGAAGACTAGGTAAGAAGTTAGTAGACCAGATACATCAGGGTACTTATTTGGGGATACACAAACTCAAGGACCTTATAGGCAAGCAATTCCAGGTTTCTAAATTAGGGCGTATGGTTCAGGATGTAGTTGATAGATGTGCTCAATGCCAGGCAGTTAATGTGGGAGGAACTAGAATGGGAAGAGGGAAAAGAGAAAGAGGTAACCAGGAATTTATTAGGAAATAGATTTTACGGAAATGAAACCCGGAAAATATGGGCACAAGTATATGTTGGTTTTTGTGGATACTTTTTCAGGCTGGGTGGAGGCTTTTTCCGCCAAACATGAGACAGCAGGAGTGGTGGCCAAAAAGCTACTAGAAGAAATAATTCCTAGGTTTGGGCTGCCTCTCACGATCGGGTCAGACAGTGGCCCTGCATTTGTGAGTTCAGTCTCACAGGCATTGGCCAAGGCTGTGGGCACAAATTGGAAACTACACTGTGCCTATCGGCCCCAGAGTTCTGGGCAAGTAGAGAGAATGAACCGGACTCTTAAAGAGACCTTGACAAAACTAATTCTGGAGACTGGCAGTGGATGGGTGGATCTCCTTCCTTTCGCCCTCCTCAGGGCACGATGTACACCCTATTTA